AGCGGGTGCAGGCAGTCGGCATCTGGCCCTGACCCTGTGGAAGCAGGAGCCAAGGGCACCTGCACGGCCAGCAGTCCTGAGCGACCAGGAGGTACCAGGGTGGCTGCCGGTGGTTCACAGAGATATATTAAAGACCCTGCTTGCACTAGCAATGGACATTCCAAAAAGGAAATTAAGAAAACAATATCATTGACAGTAGCATCAAAAAAGATAAAATACTTAGGAATAAATTAACCAAAAAAGTATACGTCTTGTACACTGAAAACTACAAAACATTGTGGGAAAAAAATGGAAGACCTAAATAAAAAAAATATACACTGTGTTCTTCGATGGAAAGACTTAACTGCTGTTACGGCAGTACTCCCTGAGTTAATCTACCGATTCAGTGCATTACCTATCAAAATTCCAACTCCCTTTTTTGCACAAATGGAAAAGATCATCCTAAGATGCATGTGAAAATGCAAGGGACCCAGAGTGGCCAGAACAATATTGAAAAAGAACAAAGTTAGAAGACTCACACTTCCGATTCTTTTTTTTAAATATAATTTATTGTCAAATTGGCTAACATACCGTGTGTACAGTGTGCTCTTGGTTTTGGGGGTAGATTCCCCCCCACGCTTCCAATTCTTAAACTTACTACAAAGCCATACTAATCAAGCCATTCTGGTGCTATCATAAGGATAGGCACATAGATCAGTGGAACAGAATTGAGAGTCCAAGAATAACCCTTCACATTTATAATCAGTTAATTTTTTTAACAAGGATGACAAGACAATTCAACAGGGAAGAATAGTCTTGTCAACAAATGATCTTGGGACAATAAACAGTCACCTGAAAAAGAACAAATCTGGACCCATACCTTACCTCATATTTGAAATTAACTCAAAATGGATCAAAGATCTAAAGGTAAGAGCTTAAACTCTAAAATTCTTAGAAGACATAGAGGTAACTCTTCATGACCTTGGGTTTGGCACTGTTTCTTGGACATGATATCAAAAGCACAAGCAACCAAAGGAAAAAAACTGATAAATTGAACTTCCTCAAAATTAAAAAGTTTTGTGCTTCAAAGGACACTCTCAAGAAAGTGGAAAACCAACCCACAGAATGGGAGAAAATACATGAACTCATACATATACCTGAAAAAGATCTGGCATCCAGAATATATAAAGAACTCTTACAACTCAACAATAAAAGGACAATTTGTCCATGAAAAAAAAAATGGGCAAAATATCTGAGTTGACATTTCTCCAAAGAAGATCTACAAAGTGGCCAGTAAGCACATGAAAAAATGCTCGATGGCATTAGTTACTAGGGAGATGTAAATCAAAACCACAATGAGATACCACTTCACACCCAGTCGATGACTAGAATTTTTTTTTAAGGAAAGAAAACCAGACAATAACAAGAGTTGGCCAGGATGTAGATGAATTGGAACCCTGGGCATGTAAGCTGGTACAGCTGCTTTGAGATAGTTTGGCAACTCCTCGAAAAGTTAAGCACCAATTTACCATATGACCCAACAATTAGCATTTCTACTTCTAGTTATATAGTTAAGAGAATTGAAAACCTATGCCTCACAAAAACTTATATGGGAATGTTCATAGTGGTATCATTCATGATAGCCAAAAAGTAGAAAAAAGCCCAAATAGCCATCACTTGGTCCATGGGTACCCAGAATGGTCAAGAAGAAAATGAGATACTCCCACACCACCTTGGAGGGAGACACCAGATCATGTTGCACCAAAGACTTGAGAGGAGATGCCGTGGGGGTGGGAGAGTTACAGAAGACCCTGTGGAATGGAGAGAATCGCCCTGAAGTCTAGGAAAGTTGAGGACAGAATATTCTAGAAGAGGGCCAGTAAATAGCTTTTCTAGTCAGGGAAACAGCTGGAGCAAAGCCTTGGAGGCGGAAAAGCCTATTGTACCTGTAGAGGACAGGGAGCAGAGGTCCTTAAGGAAGGAATATCATGTCTTGGGAGCTGGGAGGTGGACTAGACAGTGGTCCAAAGACACCACAAAGACTCGTGATCCGGGACTGAGACAAGAAGGAGGATGTGGTCGGCATGAGGTCCAGACACGCACCACGTGCATGAGAAGCAGTGTGAGATCTGTTGGCGTAACTTTAGTACCATCGTCCTTTCAAGACCACAGTCCCCTTCCCACGACCCTTGGCCAGGTCCGCAGAGCCTCTGCTTGTGCCCTCCTCGTATGGGTCTTTGGCTTGGGAAACCACCTTCCCCCAGATTGGAAATCCTATAGGACCCTCCTCAACCCTCCCTGCCCAACTCCCTTGGGGCTGGCACTTGGCCTTTGCAGGTCCTACTGGCTGGGATCTCGTCCTTTGCTCACAGACCCTCAGAAAAGAGAGCCTCTGACTCCTGGTGGCATTTAGCTTCACTCTTTAAACATCTGGGTCACAGATATGCTCAGTTAATTAATGTTCTTAGCACTGTTCATTTGCCTGCTGGATAATAGATTGATTCATAATTTCAATAAGCAGCTGTGTATATCTTTCCCCTGAACATAAAGGCAGCCTGCTGTCATTCATCACTTTGCATTTGGTGAATTTGAGTATATTCAGAGAGACATTGTTTAGGGAGGGGTGAGGAGGGCTTCTGATTTTATCTTTTTGCCTCTAACAATCACTCTGATTTGGAACTAATTTGGGTTTAAAGCACCGTTACCCGCATCTCTCACAAGGGCACTTAATAAAGCCCCTGTCACTTGTTTCAGAGGGCACCAGGTGGGCTCTCCTTTGGTGATCAAAGCAAAGGGTTTCTGAGTGGTTGTCCTCAGGAATGAGGACCCCTGCAGAAAATCCTGTCCCCTGGAGAAGAGGCACTGAGCAGAGCTGCCTCCTTGCTCCGTTCCTGACCAGAAACGCCCAGGCTCTCGGGAGGAGCTCAGGGTCACGTAGGAGGAGGCCCTTCTGCTGCCCAGCTCTGGCCCAGGGCGGCCAACCATCGGGTCTCTAGGGTCCCAAGGAGAGAGGCCAGGACCCTGCCAGGTGACCAAATGTCCTCATGCCTCAGTTTCTTCGTCTTTAAAATGCGGAGAGCAGTAGAAACCTATCTCAGAGTTGTCGTAAGAATTACGTTCTTTATCCTCTGCGAGATGCTTAGAAATGGTGCAGGGTATGCCTTTAATACATGCAAGCTGGTCATTTTGTTTTTTAATTCATTCAGCACCAGCTGTATATTAACGATCTTCACTCCTGCCCCCGCCCACCTCCTAGGACGTGAGAGCAAAAATGAGAGATGTATCTTCCTGTCTCATTGCCCTCACCAGCCTGCATTGGCGTTATCTCAGGGGGAACACAGTCCCGTCCTTACATTCCCAGAAACCTGTTCCCAGGCTGGGCACACAGAGAACTCTTCAAAACTTGCCTGTTGGAGTTTAAACGAATAGACATGGCTGCGTCTTTTAAATGATGTCGTTCACCACGTTGATAACATCCACAAACATGTTTTGAGCACTTGGTCTGTCATTTTCCCCCAGCAAGGGATGAAATTAATTAGACGCAGTCTCTGGCCCCCAAAAGAGTGCAAAAGACAGATGGATGCATTCGCTCAAAAGTTGGTATCCAGGATTATAAACAACGTGGACGAGCGGGAGAGGGAGGCCACTGAAGTAGCATGGACCCCACTGCGGGAAGGGTTGATAGGCAACAGCATCTGTGTATCAGTCAGCTCTTGCTGCGTAACAACTACTCCAAACCTTAGTGGTTTATCGTTGCCCATGAGTCTATAGGTCAGCCAGACGGTTCTGTGATCTGGACCAGGCTCGGCTGACTTCAGCTGGGCTCATTCACACATCTCCTGGCAGCCAGGAGGCCGGCCGAGGGCTGCCGAATCTAGGACAACCTCATCCACTTCTCTGGTGGTTGGCTGGCTGTTGGTTGGGCCACCCGTCTCTCCTCCTCTGGCAGGCCATCCAGAGCTTCCTGCCAGCAGCAGGTTTCCAAGAGCAAGAGGGTGGAAACATGCAAGGCTAAAGGGCTAGTCCAGCATGTGGCACATCCTCCCTTCCGCTATGTTCTGTGGGCCAGAGCAAGTCGCCGGTTTTCAAGGGATGGGGAAATAGAGTCCACTTCCTGATGCACGTGGCTCTAAAAGTCACAGTGCCCAGGGTGTATAGAAGGAAGGAGTGAAGGATGTGGCTGTTTTGGCAATCTACCACAATCCCCCAGGATTTGTTGCTCTGTGTGGAGCCGTCAACAAGTGCCAGGACTGTGTCGCACATTTAGGACGCTTCTGCTTTTTCATCACTGTAAATAACGGTGCAGTAAAGACCCTAGACATGAACTCGTGTTTGCGGTTGCGATCGTTACCTTGGGATGGATGTCTGAAGGGGAATTTATTGGGTCAAGAGAAGAAAACATTTTAACAGCATGGAGCCTATATGTTGAAATTCCCTTTTTGACCGGCTGTAGCAACTTACCCCCGCTCCAGCCCATGACAAAACGGGAATAGGGTTGTTGCTGTTGTTGTTGTTGTTGTTTTTTTAATGCGGTATCGCGCTGCTGTTTTAGTTTATCTATTTTAACACCTATCAGGTTGAATGCTTTTTAATGTGTTTCTTTTTTGGTGAGCTGCCTCTTTGGGCACTTTACAGCAGGGTGGAATGAATGAACGAATCCCAATTTACAAATGGGGAGGAAACGCCGGCTCAGAGAGGTTAAGTGACTGCTTCGAGGGGGCCCCGCCAGCTGGAAGCAGAGCCAAGCTTTGAAATCGGATGTCCTGTGCTTTTACTGATCCCTGCTCCCCCCGTGTTGCTGAGCAGAAGGCTAGAATCCAGAGACGCTGACCGAGGGCATGCTTAGAAGAAAATCAGACCGGCCCTGGGGGAGCGGGATCCAGCCAGGGAGGGGGCTTCCTGAGCAGGGCTCGCCTGTGAATTGAGTGTTTGGTGGCCAGGACCGCGGCACTGGCAGAGGCCTGGATGAGACGTGCGAGCCCGAGCCCCCTCTCCCCACCTCTCGTCTGCTCTCTCCCCAGCTTGCCCGCTACACCAAGGAGGGCTTCCTGCACTTGGGAGCCCTGGGGACCACCACGCTCCTCCCTGACACCCGCTGCCTGGTGGACAACTCCAAGAGTCGGCTGCCCCAGCTCCTCGACTGTGACAAAGTCAAGAGCAGCCTGTACAAGCGCTGGAATTTCATCCAGGTGGGTACCCCCTGGGAAGGGCCAGCACCCCAGAGCAGGTAAGGCTGCTGCAGACCACAGGGAAGTCCGACCTCCCCAAGGAACGGTGCCCAGGAAAGCACACCAAAGGTCTCCAGCCCCGGGCCAGCCTCGTGAACCCAGGGCACGTCCGGGGGGAACCGGCGGTGGCGGGGGCCTTCCACCTGGGACAGCTTCCGGGTCCCTTCGGCAGCACCAGGCCGGCTGGGCTCCGGCAGATCTCGGGAGGGGAGTGTGGGCGATGTCCCTGAAATCTGCTGTCTACAGCCACTGCGATTGAGAAAGCCAGACCTTGAATATCCCTGCAAATTCCGCATTCCCACACCGTCGCCCATCGGGGCCGGTCCCCTGGCTCAGCCATTCAGACTTGGTGAAGCCGATGGCCATTCTGACTTCGGGGTTTCTGGATGGTCCCTCCCCCTGGGCAAACAATTTTGGTGGGACTGTTCCCCAGGAGAGGCCACGCGCCAGGCCTCTTTCTCTGTCTCTCTCCCTGTCTCTCTGTCCCTGTCTCTCTCCCTCTCTCTCTCTCTCTCTCTGCCTTTCGGCCTCTTTTTCTCTCATGGTCTGATCCCTCTCTTTCTCTCTCTATCGGTCTTATTCTCTATATCTCTGTCTCCGCCGATCTGTTTCCGTTCTCTGTGTCTCTGTCTCTGTGTCTCTCTATGTCTCCCTGTCTATGTCTCTGTCTGTCTCTCCGCCTTTTACCCAGAACGGAGCCATCATGAATAAGGGCACGGGGCGCTGCCTCGAGGTGGAGAACCGGGGCCTGGCTGGCATCGACCTCATCCTCCGCAGCTGCACGGGCCAGAGGTGGACGATTAAGAACTCGATCAAGTAGCGGGGAGGAGCCTGGCCCCCGGGACAAGGTCTGCCCGTCTTCCGGGCCAGCCGCACTGGTGAAGAGACAGCGAGGAGCCAGCCGGGGTCAGCAGCCCTTCCGGGGCTTCTCCAGGGGCCCCGGATGGAGACTTGGTGTCCCCAGTGGGCGCTCAGCTGCCGTGAGGCTCGTGCCCCCTGGAAAAGCCCCCCGACCCTTCTCTGGGAACCCGGGAGCCGTGTCTTCTGCAGCCTGGATGTGGACCTCGTACCATGGAGTGAACCCCCCCACGTCCTCCTCGTCGTCTTCGCAGCCACAATCAGGACTGGGACCGGCAGGGGCCCCTCCTCGTCCTCGTCTCTTGCAGCTGCAGCGGCTCCTGAGTGCCACCCCGACCCTCGGCAAGGTGGGGGGTGGCGCTCAGTCACGTCCTATCTGCCCCTCCTCAGAGGAGGCAGTCAGGCCCTGGGACTCCGTTTCCCTGGAGGTTGCTTCTGCCCCGATGCCCATTTGCAGCCCCAGGCAGCCTCCACCCCAACCCTTAGCGGCAGACGGCTTTGGTGGCTACGGCCCTGGACTTTTCTGGACCCTCCCTTAGATGGCCTGGAAGGAATTAATGCTTCCACGGGCACCAGGGCGCTAGGCTCTCGCGTTCCGGGGCCAGCTGCTCTGCCCGTGTCCGCAGGGAGCCAGACACAGAAAGAGGCTGAGCACGTAGGGAGGTCATGGCTGTGAGGGGCCCTCTGGGCTGGAGCCGGGCCAGTGCGGCTCTGCCCTCCGGGAGACCAGGGGGCCCTGACTCATGACCAGGGAGGCCGCCATGGGAGCCTCCACCTGGAGCTTTAGGACTGAGGCCAGCACAGCACGGGGGTCGGGGCGGGGTGAGGGCAGGACCCTGGAAAATGCTCCGGGTTCATCTCATCTCACCCCATGCTCTGCTGGCTGACAGGGGAGAAGGCAGTCGATTCCTCTCTGCAGAGTAATAATTGTTTTCGATTGCCCTCTGGTTAGGGTGCACTTGTAAATCAGAGTTAATATATGGACGCGTGTGCATGCCTACGAGTGTGTGTGCCTGCGTGGTGTGCGTGTGCGCGTGCATGTGTGTGTCTGGGCGTGCGCCTCCGAGTGTGTGATAGAGTGGGTGTCAGAGTGTGGCCTCGGGCTTGCCGCTTCATCGCTCACCTGGATCAGGGCGAGGCTGCCGGAAGCATGGGGCGTTGGCCACGCATCTGTGGCCAGGAGGACGCGGCCCAGCCTGGCCCCATGTGGCGCCCCAGATGGAAGGCTGTCCCTTCCCCCGGGTCCCTCTCTGTCCCTCATGCTGTCCCCAAGGGCCAAGCCCTGCCCAGAACCAAATCCTGTAGTTGCCCGGTTTGGGGTTCACAGTGTCTCATTTGGTGGCATCTTATTGGTGATCCCCCTCCCCCAATTCCTCCCTTGTGAAATAAATACATGTGAGCACTTCCCCAAGCAGCCTTGTTTGCTTCTTGGTTCCTCCAGAGCCCGGGGTTTGGGGGGGGGGGTAGTTCCTGGAACATGGCAGAGGGCTCTTTCGGGTGGGGGGTTTGGTCTTACTGTAAGCAAAAGCCGTCGCTCGCAGCACGAGGCTGTGACAAAGCCGGTCGGCACTTGCACTCACCCCCCGAAGCAGGACAGAACCTGACATTTTGGTGCTCGTGTACTAACCCCCTTGCGGACCCCAGCTTAGGAGGCTCAGGCTGGTGCAGGAAGCGGAAAAGGGGAGGAGGGTTGAGATGACCCGGCTGAGCCCCTCCTGCTCGTGGCAAAGTGAAATCCTTAAAGATTCCAGGCCTTCCATCATGGAAACGGGTATGGGACTCACGGTCAGGGGTCCCCTCAGCTGTGACAGTCCCTCTTCCCTTCGAAGAAGCCCAGAAGGTCCGTCTTCTTTGACGTCACACAAAACACAGACACGCGCACCAATGGCAGTTGCCATGTTTCTTTCGGGTTCTAGGAGAATCAGGGTCCAGGAGCGTGCTGATGGAAAATGCTGGAGTCTCGGGGTGACCGTGAAGTGAAAAGAGCTGAAGGTCTGCAGGTTCCCACGGGGCTCAAGGGATAATATCACAGTGTGATGCCTTGGGGGAGGAGTCCTACCCTGACTGCCTCATACTCCCTCTGTGTGGGTCTGAAAGTACAAATATGAAGAAGGAATCATCCTGTTTTACCATTTGCTGAGGTTTTGATCCCAGATCCCGGTGAGGCACCAGGGAAGGCCTGGGAGACCCAGGGAGGCCTGGGAGGCCTGGGAGGCCACCAGGGAGGATCCTTCATTCTACAGGAAATGGGCCAAATGGCCTCAAACCAAAGTAAGCCTCGAGGCCTGCTCAGTTCTCTGAAGGAACAGGAGCCCACACCCTCTGGGGCTCTAGCACACTCGCTGGTTGTGGGGGTCCTTGGTACTCCAAGCCGAACCTCTAAGGATACAAGGCAGCAAGGATCCTGGAACTTACCAGAGTGAAGTACTCTTCTTCAGTGTCACACGCAGCAGGACAGGATGTTTGGGTTGGCTTATTTATGTGTGTTTGTGGGGGAGGGTAGTGGTGCTGGTTCAGGACCATGGGACACTCTCTGCCTCCGAACACCAGTGCATGGGCCCCGAGTCTTGGGTCCAGCATCCGGGAGGCCTGGGCTGTCCGTTTATATCAGCACCTGCCGTCAGCACTCACCTGGGTTACCTCCCAAAGACTGGGCGCCCTGGGGAAACTGGCCCGAGCGTGAGGCCAGCATCCCAGGACGGCACCCTCTTGGCGCCACAGGGCAGGAGGTGGGGGGGTGGGGTGGGGTGGGGGATCAGAGACCAAGGCAGAGAGGAGGAATGAGCAAAGTTAAAGAGGGAGGAGAGAAAAAAGCAGCAGGGCCCTGAGGGAGCCTTGTGTCCAGTCCTTTGGAGGACTTTGGAAGGTCCGGAGCCCCACATCTTTGCACGGTGGCATCAGCTCCAGACGTCCGGCTCCAGGGGCATCTCACACGCCTTCAGCAGGTGTTAGGCGTTGGCACCGTCTGTATCCCCATACCTCCGTCACCCCCAGCCCTTCCAGGGGGGATGATGCACAGGGAGTTGAGCCCCGACAGCCTTTGCTCCACACACCCCTTCTGTCTACTTAGTCCCTCACCTGTGCCCCCGTGCCCCTGTCTGGTGACAATTTCTTCTGCTTTTCTCTAAGTTCCCCTCTCTGTTTATATGGCAAAAACATCACAGATGGTATTGCTGACACATGCCCAAGCCCCACCACAGATGTCTTTGAATCTATATGTGTTATTTCTCAAATGTGTTCTCTATTCTTATTCCGGTGGCCAGAGAAGGAGAAATGCGGAAGGCTGAGAAAGCAGTCTGGGCCGGAAGCCGCCATGTTAACCCACTCCAAGCCCTTTTGCTTGGTTTCCTGAAGCCATTCCTTTGCATCTCATATATTTTCCCCGCCATTCTTGAATAGCATCCCGGTTTCCCAAATGGCAGAAGTCAGGCCCGGCCAGAGCAGGCGACTCCCCCAGGGCTGTCGTGTGAGCTGTCCCTGATCATGCCGTTTCTCTCCTTCCACCTTGCTTGGGACTGCTGCTCTAAGAAAGGCTGAAGGACAGCCCTGCCAACTGCCCCCATTCCCCCACCCACCCTGGAATGACGGTCCCCCAGGAGATGGGCTTGGGAGAGGCCGGGAGCCTGTGCAGGAAACCAGAAGGCCCAGAGAGAGCATGCGCATATGCGAGGTGGGGCGGGGCGGGGCAGAGAGAGTGGGAGAGAGAGAGAATCTGACACGGGTTTCATGCTATCAGTACAGAGCCCGATGCAGGGCTCTATCTCATGAACCGCGAGATCATAACCTGAGCCGAGATCAAGAGTCTGATGCTTATCCGACTGACCCGCCCAGGCACCCCGATTAAGCTTCTATTTTAATTCCAGTTTCGCTAACCAACTGTGCTGTATTAGTTTCAGGTGTAAAATGTAGTGATTCAACACTTCCATACATCACCCTGTGCTCATCACGACAGGTGCCCTCCTTAATCCCCATCAGTCATTCACCCATGCTCCCACCCACCTCCCCTCTGATAACCATCAGTTTGTCCCCTATCCTCAAGGCTCTGTTTCTTGGTTCGCCTCTCTCTCCTTTTTCTCCCCCTTTGCTAGTTTGTTTTGTTTCTTCAGTTCCACGTATGAGTGAAATCATATGGTGTTTGTCTTTCTCTGACTTATCTTGCTTGGCATTATAGTCTGTAGCTCTATCTCTGTTTCAGATGGCAAGATTTCATTCTTGTTATGGCTGAATAATATTCCAGTGTGTGTGTGTGTGTGTGTGTGTGTGTCCATTCATCTGTGGATGAACGCTTGGGCTCCTTCCATAGTTTGGCTATGATAAGTCATTGCTGATAAGGCAATGCTAAGTCATTGGCTGATAAGTCATGAAAGGCACCTTAGCCTCTTGTTTCAGTCCAGGCTCCAGATCAGCGGTTGGGCTGGCAGGTCGTCAGCTCCTAATCAGTTGCCCTTCCTCTTGGCCCAAATCATGAATCTGAGTCTCTTGGCCACTCTGCTTTCTCACTTATCAAGCAAGTTCCCGAGACCACGTGTTGGCAATCGATGGTGGGCCCCAAACTCCAGAGGCCCATTTCAGTTCAGTTCGACAGTTATATTTGGACACTGATCCTTTGGCTTGCGTTTTAAGACTTCTTGGAAGAGAGAGAGAGAGAAAAGGCAGAAGGAGCTAAAAGACAGCGAATATCTTGGTCTTCAGCCGTTAAAGGTTATCTTTGAAAGAAGAACATAGGGGCGCCTGGGTGGCACAGTTGGTTAAGCGTCCGACTTCAGCCAGGTCACGATCTCGCGGTCCGTGAGTTCGAGCCCCGCGTCGGGCTCTGGGCTGATGGCTCGGAGCCTGGAGCCTGTTTCCGATTCTGTGTCTCCCTCTCTCTCTGCCCCTCCCCCGTTCATGCTCTGTCTCTCTCTGTCCCAAAAATAAATTAAAAACGTTGAAAAAAAATAAAAAAAAAAAAAAAAAGAAAGA